AGGGTTCACAGACAGGAGGGCTCACAGACGGTAGGGTTCACAGATGGCAGGATTCATAGATGGTAGGGTTCACAGATAGCACGGTTCATAGATGGCAGGGTTCATAGGTGGCAGGGTTCATAGATGGCAGGGTTCATAGGTGGCAGGGTTCGCAGACAGTAGGGTTCAGCTCTCCGTGGCTCAGCAGTACGCAGGGCCGGTAGATGGCACTCCAGAACACGCATCCCAACAGGCTGTTCCACAGGCCTAGGAGACTGCAGCAAATGTCCCCCACTGGCAGCCTCTTCCATGGCTCCTCTCAGATGCAAGGAGTTCTGAGGAAGTGGAAGGGCTAACACCTCCACAGAGCAGAAACACCTGCGAATGCTGCAGCAGATACAAAATCGTTCTCTTGCTTAGAGTATCCAGCCTATTTTACAAGTCAATATATTAGCAGTGGGACTCTCATTATCAAATAGCACTATATTTTTGACAGATGTTGAGCGTTATCTTGCCATTTCCTTACAGTCCTTAGGTATTTACAGCATGGGAACACTTTCAACTCTTTTAAAGTTACATGAGGACAGTCAAAATCCAACTCTTCAGCTTTCAGCTTACGAACAAGGCAAAGGTTTAAACAGGAATGTCTGTTTAAACACAATGTCACCTGCCTTCCTTTTTCATCCTAGCACAATTTTTATTGCTGTCCTATATAMATTCACCAAAGATAGTTTTCTTGATTTCCATCTTTGAAATATAACAGTCCTCAAGAGTTATGATGCCAAGAAGGGAATGCATGAAGACAAAATAAGGAAGAGTAAAGGTTAGAATGGAATTGATCAAAACTAGTAAGTTTACTATATTCTGGTGTTTTTAGAAATGTTCTTTTCTCCAGAAAGCAACTGTTTAATACAGAACTTTACATGGTAACTTCAATRATAACCAAGAGTTTTATAGTAATTTCCTTAGAGGATGTGTTTTATATTTCAGCTAATAATATGAAYGATAAGTGTCCTAGTGTATAACACTCCGTATCAATAAAAAAGAAACAAGGCATTTATAACTTGCTTAACCTGAAATACTGCATATTTATGTTTTCCTTAAAAGCTATCATATAAATGTTCAACATTTTTAGAYTAGCTTGATAATATTTATATCATAGAATATGGATTATTTCTTCATAAAGAATATGAGAATATTTGTTACCAAATAAAAAGAATGAGAAATATAAATGGGTGCACTGTTATCTTAAATAACTACACTACTGTGTTTGAGCATAATCCTTAATTGGAGCGTTATCATCTGCCCTGAAATATGCCAGAACATTTAACTACCCCCTGTGGTGACCATCAAAATGCAGAGAATGGTAGTTTAATTAGTAATCCCACAGACATGAGGCAATGCTCAAAGCTACTATCAGCATTATTGCCATGAAGAAAGAAGGCCTTGAAATGTTTTAACCAGTCTGCAGGGTCTTAGGCCTCTCCATACAGTCTGCAGTCAAAGATCATTCTGGTGATTAGGTCTGAAAACACCAGATTCTTTTATATAGGCCTTGGACAGCAGTTTTGGGTCAAAAAGGTTTGTTTCCTGTCTCTGCTTCCAATGCCTTCCTTTGCTCCTTCTGCTGTTCAGACTTCAGTTAGAAATTATTCCTCATTTACATGACCTAGATAAAATAATAGCACGGAAGATGTTCATTTGATCATTTTGGTTTTGTTAGTTTGTTAAATTCTGCTTGGACAAAAAACACAATCGTGGGAATGCATTGCTGCTGTTACRTCTGCATTAGGAAGCAATGCAAGGCAGGGTGGCAGATGGTTTGGGGCAGAAGTCTTGCAATAAATGGATAGCAAGACATGAGGAACAGCTTTAGGGGTTACATAATTTTGCTTATTTCTTCAAGTTTCTTGTTTGGAGAGTTCTAAAATTTGGCTTTACCACAGAGCGCCGTACAGAGGACAGGAACAGCAAGCTGGCTGTGGCTGAGCTCTGGCTGTAACACACACGAGAACCCCTCAGCAGTAGGGTGACAGCTCAGTGGAATGGCCCCTTGCATGATGCCTCATTTCAAAGCCATTACCTCAGCTGCCAGACAGGACAACCTCTATCAGAAAGTGCTGACTTGGACCTGGTTACTGAGATAGCAGGCAACGCATCTCGAGGACGTTTCTCCTTACCCACTGCTCAGTGGCACCCACTACAGAAACCCACGGTGAGTAACCCGCCCCTTTTCTGAGGCAGACAAAGCCTGTCCACGGTTCTGTGCCATTTTTATGTGATTAGGTATAAGAAGTAAAATTTTACTGAAAAAATAAAGTTAGCAGAGAAAATACCCAAATACTCAATCTTGCACAGGCCTGTCAGAATGAATACATCCGTGAGAGAAGCTGAACGAGCATTTGTCTAGGCTTATAATGACTACTGACAAAATGCAGCTATGCTCACCAATCTATGCAACAGATAATGAAGCTGAATATATTAATAAATCATCTGCTGAGGAAGGAAAGCAACAACATTACATTTTTAAACAACTTTAAATATTCCATTCCCAGAAGTAGTACAAGAAATAGACAGTTGTCCAAAAGGTTGCAGAAGCCCAAAATACAGACAGACTATGAGTAGTAAAAATAAGGGAAAAGACAGGAGACGGTCTTGACTAATAAGACAAGATCTTTCAGACAAATTGAAGTTACCGACTGAACTAGCACCTCAGTGGTGCATAACGAACGAGTGAATGGAAGTACAAACCATCTTTGAGGCAGGGAGGCTCAGGTGTACTTGCATGAGAAAGTTTTAAACAATACCCATTCTGAAAATGCAAGTTTTGATTCTAAACTAATAGTTTTTCGCCTCTTTTGTCAGCCAAAGGCAATTAAATGAATGGGAAGTGTGCCCACTGACATGGATGGGCTTTGAATTCAGGCTCTGTCTTCTTTCAAAAAATGTCAAAATATATAAAAAATGTCTGCCCAGGCAAGCATGTGTTGGAAATGTGAGACAAAAGAACATTGACAGACTGTCAAATTACAGGAATTAGGGAAACAGTCCAAGCTGTCACAAATTAAGATTATTTCCTGTAATTCTGTCTAGAAAGTCAACACATACAATAGAGTGGGGTTTTTTTTCAAGTTCTTCCACATTTGTATTAAAAGGATTCAAGAGAGATGGTCATTTAGGAAAAATAATTTAAAGAAATAGAGACCTAAAACAAACAGCTTGTACAGTTTTCAATAGCTTACACAAATATTTAGTCCGGATATCTCAATTCTAGTCTCCTACTACCAAAAAAACAACAAAAAAGTACTGTGTGTTTGAAACCTTTGTCATTATTATATCCATTGTAAACAACTATTTAGACAAAATTAAAGTGACTGCAAGTGGTCTCCCCCCATTTTTCTCTCCCCATTTTTTCCAAGAAGGAAAATCCTTCCTGCATTGAGAATTGATGTGAACCCTTTGGAAAGGGGYATGTGGACTCTGAGCACCCAAGGAACATCACAGAATACCACTTTCCAAACCAAAAGGAAAACAAAATAGGACAGAATGCATCACTGAACAGAGAGCTCTTGGAGAAATGAAGTCTCTTTGGAGACATTTTGGGAAATCAACAGTCTGTGCCCATTCTTACCCATATAGACTTAAAGAATATTTCTGAAGGAGCACAGCATAAATATCCCATATCTGGTTTGTATAACTTCATATGAGAAAGAGAGGAAGATTTCAGTCTGGGTAAATTTGCACAGTTCTGCTGGAGTAAAGCAGACAAGGTAACAATATCATCATTTTCCTATTTTAATGTGCTGATGGAACTTGAAGCAGTGTGGAGGGAAAAGGCACAGATGAAAGACTCCTGAAAGGAAACGGGGAACTACTTTATTCTCCTTCTCCTTTTTGCTTTTTTTTCCCTGGAATTTGAGTTATCTCCTGCAAGATAAAATAGCGGGGCTACGTGTCTCTGAGAAGAGATCAAWCAGGGAGCACTCACCTGTTCAACCACACGGCGTGGGACACATGCTGCACACGTGCAAAGAACCATGAAAGGGCCAAAAAAGCGCTCTGTGACCCCTCTCATAAAGTGCATCACCTTCATCTTTTGAAAGGGTAGTAAGCTTCAGTATTAGCAACATTTAAAGCTTTTTTTTCCCTTTTTTTTTCTCCCTAACAAAATGGAGGGGTTGACTAATGGCCCCACTGCTCTGAATCAAAATACTTGCTATACTTGTCTATATGTATTAAAACACTGTAGTAGAAAAAAATTGACTTCAACCTTTTATGCTGTCATTCTTTCACTATAAAAATGAGACACTCATAGAGGGAAAATGCATTGGTTCTCAATGCACTCAGAAAAAAAAAAAAAAAAAAGGAGTTTTCTTCTGAGAGTTTTATCTTGGTAAGACTTTCTATACTGTGCTTGACATTCTGAATTGCATGATTATATAGTATAAGATTCCGGCAACGTTTTGTGTTGTAAAGATGGAGATGCTCAGCATTTTGCCAGATGCCAAGTGATATTCTGATATTTCCATCCCCTCTTTAAACTGAGTGACAGTCAGCACATTCACAATGAAGCCAAGACAATCTGCTATCAAGTTCCAGTGCTGCTATTTTCCCTGATGAAGATCCTAGCGCTTGCTGGAATAAAGCTCTTGAAAACTCCGCGTCTGGAAGAGCCGGCTTGCTCTCCGTGCGATAGAATTTCCTATTTGTGCCAGTCTAATAAGTAGATCACTGGGTACAGGCTTTTTGTAAGTAAGTCTATACGTACTGCACCATTTCCTGGCTCAGGGAGCTCCTCGGCGTTGCAGGCTGTGTGCAGTGGGGGAGGTGCCAGCGCTGATCAAGCAGTGTAATTTTATACATTACTGAATCAGTGCAGGAGAAACCTGGAGGGACAAAGCAGCATCTTCTCTTTGGACTGCACTGTCAAATCCTACAGCTTTCCCAGCCCAGCCATGCTCTGAGACATTTTTCCTCTCCTTTTTTTTTCCTGATTTTGGTGTGAATGATAAAGTGATCTGATGATGGCTCTCGTTATGGAACCTATTAGCAAGTGGACGCCCAAGCAAGTAGTGGATTGGATGAAAGGTAGGATCATTTATTCCTGTGTATTGTCTGTACTTTAGCTCCACGCAATTTGCATTTTTGCTACTGTATGCTTTGTGTTGGGAAGAGTTAATGCAGTTTTGGGAAGCGCCGTGCGGCTCTGCTGCCCGCGCCGCGCAGCGCGCTGCCGGGATCGCCGGGGAAGCGAGCGCATCCGCGGGCAAACGCGGCGCCAACCTGCTCCATCCCGGGAGTCCATGACGGCGCGCCGTGCCCGGGGAGGCCGGCTGTGCGGCACCTGCCCTGCTCAGCGCTGTGCCCCGGCAGGGACGTGGCGCAGTGGCTGTGCGGCACGCGCGCCGGGCGCCCACGCGGGGCACGAGGGGCTGCGCCGCGCAGGCACCCATCCTGCTCCGGGTGCGCCAGCACCGCGGACAGGGCAGGCGGCGCCGCGGGGTGCGCAGCGCCCAGCGCGGCCCCCCAGGGAAGCTCCAGCCCCCAGCCTGGCACCCAGGGTGATTTCCCGGCACAGCAGCGGGAGAGGGCTTGGGCTGACCGTGCCGGGCTCGGCTACAAACAGGTTGATCCGGATGGAGGGGTGAGGAGCGGGAGCCGGTGACCAGCGTTTGGGTTCCTCCCGAGTGCGGGGACAGTGTGTTTACACGGCAGCCTGCGTGACGGCTCTGAGACGCTTCGGAGGAGCTCTCTGTCTGAGGGACAAATAATTTCTGCAACACATAATCTCCATTATATAAGGGAAGAGGTGCACATTTTGTCTGGATGTTCTTGGTGGAGAAAATTTCTGTAATGAGATTATTGAACTTACTGGAAGGATGAACTGGCTGCCCATTATAAGAGCCTTAAAGCTTGCAGCAGGTTATCAGTAATTAGGCGACGGCTTTGATTTCATCAGCTCAGCTGCATCTCCATCCTTCATTCAAACGGGGCTGTTCAGGTGCTCATCACACACACTACACACAAACTATTCCTTCACAAGCATGAAGTATTACAAAGCAAATGGCACCTAAGGTGCTGGAGGTAGTTTGTTTCTGAGGTGTCAACTTGGGTTAATTGGGAGGTCTGAGRCAGGTCATCAGGATGACTCCTGAAACCCCTACATGTATGATTAATACCCTCATTCCAATGGCATTTCCTGAACCCAGCACCTAGTGTGTGTGCACAGGAGAGTCTGCTGATCTACATCCCTACTATTAGTACAAAAATATTTTTAAAATAGGCAGATTATTACACTACTTTAACTCATAAGTTGAATTATAACGTAATTTAAATGTCAAAGTATATGTAGTACTTGTTGCTGCATTTAAAAAGAACCCACATTCTGTAATTTTTTTGATGTAAACCAATTAGATCTTTGCTACTATTAGTCTATAATATGTATATGTACTACAGAATACAAGATCGTAAAAACAGAAGATTTTTTAAACGTGGAATTCCAGTATTTCCTCCATGTGAGGAACCACCAGTGCTGAGYGGCCTAAGTGCAACATCTCTGCACAGGAACTGCCTCCTGCATCCCTAGGGAAAGCGGGAGCAGCCGGTCCTGCCCGCGTGCGCCTCGGGGCTGTGGCACGAGCACAGACATTGCAACCCGCGGCGAGGCACTCGCGGGGCAGACACGTCCCTGGGCGGCACCCACGGACACCAACGGGGCAYGGACGTCTATTTTTAACATACTAATAGAGTGTTTGCTTCGCACGCTTTGGTTATAGCCAAGGAAAACCTAACAAACCTCGGAAATATAAATGGAAGCACCCCAAAATTACGCCAAGATTACTTGGAAATCTCCAGCTTTATAGCAATTGTCCAGTCACGGCCACAGTTTACCTGTAATGTACTTATTTTCGGTGTTATSAGCTCCATTAGCTGTTGCAATTCTGCTCCAGAGCTGTTAATGAATTAGTGAGTTCAAAGCTCTGCACAGCTAATGAGTGCTAAGGTAGCCTATAGATAAAACAAAGTCACTTATACTGAAAGGTACACTTCTTTAAGAGAAAAGTTATTGTAAAGGCATTTCAGCAAATTTATCCTCTTATCAATGTGCACTATTACCTTCACCATGGAAAGAAACATGGTAAAGGGCAAGCATAATATACCTTATTTTTCCTTAAAATACCTGTAGTCAATGATCTTTATTTGTAAAGGTTATAAATTGTAATACATTTTGCAGTAGAATGATAGTAGAATTTATCATAGCAATCACTTCTGCTACTGTTACATATTTTTTAAAACTGTCAATAAACTCCATTTTGAGAGTAACTGGTACAGAAATCCTGCAGCATCAAATAATTTAGAGGAACACGGGAGAAAGCCACAAAAATTATGTTAATAGTTTGAGACCCAGCTGCCCCAAATGCATCCTGACTGCAGTGAGCTATTATCAGCAGCAGCTGCAGCCCAAGCCCCATCCAAGAGGAGACATCCTTCTGTTCTGTTCCTTAAGGAAATGTTACTTGCCAAAAAAAGTAAAAATTACTAAGCTCTAAGAAATATTATTATGACAAGTTGGCATCTTGTATTTAGCCACGGTTCCTTCCTTGGGAACTCATTCAATTGGAATTTAACTTGGGAACTGGGTTGCACATTGTGGTCAACCAGAAAAGGCCACACAAGTCTTTGGACGTTCATGCTGGAGGCTGACAGARGTCTAGACTAAGACTCTACCTTTGATTAAAGAATTTGTCTTTAGAGTATGCAGGAATATTCCATAAAGTTTTGCAAATGCAGAGGAAAAGTCAATGTAGTTAAAAAAAAAAAAAAACTTTCAAAGGAATAGACAATGTGATTTGTAGAGATATTTTCAACAATTTTCAGACACTATTCTTTTTTTTCCCATTTTTTCCCAATATTTTACATTTCTCCATGTTTTCCCCTCCAGAAAAGGGTCTATTATGTTTCCATATCTTACTTAATTCAGATGTTTTCTTGGGGATAGACTAGAGRCCCAAGAAGTTAGCTTAAGAGGAAGGGCCTTCCATTGGCTTGCTCAAACGTCATTTCTGCACTGTTGGAAAAAACATACCGTTAAGAACAAAATATTGCTCTTAAAATTGTTCTATTTTAATTCTGATTGAGTTTCGCATGTTAAAGAGAACCTTGAGAAAATACCCGCGGTGCCTGGACCTGCAAGGCTCGTGCAGGGCGGCACGGGCCGCTGCCCGGCCTGGGAGCCCCCTCCTTGTCGTGACGCTCCGTGTCCCCTGGCAGTCGGGACTGCGTCACCGGAGAGCGCCCCGCTGAACCCGGCTATCCTCATACGTGTGTGTGCACTAGGGCAGGCAATCCTGCACGTCGGAGGGGCACAGAGGAGGCTTGCCTTGCAGATACAATTAGTAAATTAGTGGTAACTTGTGGTTTCATCTTGAGTAAAAACTGGCAGGTTCGCTAGGTATTCTTCAAATAACAGCATCAAAGATTTTCCTCTTTCCTCTTTCACTCTTCCTGAGAGAAGCAGTTTACAAGTCGTGGGTCATTTAAAAGGTGATCTCATTTACATTTAAGTGACCCCTACGTACAAATAAATACTAACCTTCCAAAATAATCCAGCAAAGTGAAATGAAATACCACGCAGCGAAATGCAGCTGTGACTCGGAGAGACGGGAATATTATTGAACAGTTGAAATKAAACTAGGAATAACTCCACATGGAGTCAGCTGTTCCAAGTCGTGCTGCCTGATAGTACAACCTGCAGCAGAGGTTTCTCTCATAATGAGCACTCAGCTTCGGATGCTTATTTCACAACTGCAACCATTTCTTTCCCCTTTAAATGCAGAATTTCTCCACTCTCAACAGGAGATGCAGACATGAAAAAATAAAAATTAATTCAGTTGGTAAACTGATTAACTGTGCTGCACTGATCCTGTGCAGAATAATTATATGTTTAGCTGAAGGGTTTTCCTTAGCATGTAATTCCCTGATTTCAAGCTGGCTCATAAAAGAGAAAGGCAGGGAGGAGGGGGAGCTGGGAGCACGGAGGCTGATGACGTGAGTGGACTTGTTAGCATTCACAGCACACAGGGCTCCGGCAAACCCCTTCTCAGGCTTTTTTTTTTGCTTTTCATTAAATCACTACCTGCTCTGTAGCAGTATGTCATAAACAGGGAGTCTCCTCTGTTTACACAGTGTTATATATAAAATCTTTGAGTGTACTGGAGGCACAGCTAAATATTATGATCCAGTGCAAAAGCAGCCTTAGAGCTGCTGAGCTGGATGATACTTAGCTTCCCTGATCTCCCTTTCTGACCTTAGAATCCCGTAATGCAAGAATTCTACTTCGCAAGATGCAATTTGAAACTTAAGTAGATAACCCAGGTCACATCTTACTTAGAAAAATGCAGGTTTTATGGCATTCTTTCAGTTCTTACCATAGACAAATASATTTGGGAAAGATCCGAGAGCCACAGTCTTTAGAATTAGCACTGAATTTGCAGGCTGTTCTACAGCGAAGGTTTTATCATTTTCAATCTACTTTCAGCAATTTCGAAGGCGAAGGAAACAAACCATGGAGGGGGATGGCTCCCAAGCGCTCCCTGCATTACTGTGCTCTACCAGCATGACACTGCTGCTTGTTGCTGGAGAGAAATCGAATCGGAGCAGTCTGCAATTCCTCTCTCAGGCTTCCTACAAGTTTCAAACYGTGATACATTTTTAGGAATAAATTCTGGCAACAGCTACTTGGTTGCATGTTGGTTTTTAGCCGATCTAGATTATGATATCTTATAAAAATAAGGGAAAAATTTATTTACAGGAGAATTTAGTGCTTGCAAGTAGCAGACTCAAAGTGAGCTCATGGATTGTCAACAATAAGCGATCAAACTGCAGGCTTCCCTTCTGCCAGAGTGAAGCCTGTGAGTCCCGCGGCTGCCCTCCCTGCAGCAGTAGCTGCCGTGGGGATTTCATCCCTCGGCAAGCCAGGGAAGCAGCCACGAGCTGGATCTCCAGCCCTTGGTGTGCCCAGTGTCAGCAGTGGGTACCTACGGATCTCCAGCTGGATCTCCTGCTGTCAAAGGCATGAGTCCTTTCCG